TGAGGGTTCAGCAATATTTTTTTCGCCGGGTTTTCGCCATTTACTGCTTCTAAAACAATGAAATCTGTAGAAAAATTCGTTTACTCCGAAAGAAATAACGGCCACACGTTGCGATGAAAAGTCTGAAACCCCTTAAGGAACTCAGTTTCGTGGTCCCACATTATCTCGCAGCAGCACCCAAATATTACTTGTTCCGTCCCCTTGCAATTTTTGTAGGAGAAGAGCTATGATGATTCGGCCGCTATGAAATGGATCTCCTGACCCTTTTGTTGAGAGCAGCAGAGTCCTAAGAAAGGGGAATAGACAGAACAGACAGACAGATCTCACTAGAAATCCGATTATCGAGGCCGCTATTGGAAATTACTTATGACTCATCCTACTAAAATGAATGTCCATCAAAAATTCGCGTCTGTCGCTACATATTGCCCACCGGGTGGCGCAGAATGCCAATTAGAACCTACACGGTCCAATCTTTACGGCTGTGCTATACAGCGCTAGTGCCATAGATGATAAAGTTTAGAAGTACGCAATAAAAAAGCCTCACCTTGTCTGGGCAGTAGGGCACAGCAGTAGTAAATAACGAACTTCCTCGCATCTTTTCGCTTTCAATATAGATATCGCTGTTCATAGAATTACGCCTGAAATGGGAAAAATCAGTGATAAAATTCTGAGAAATTGGAGTTTTCCAGGTAAATTGCTCCAATCTGCTTTTTACGCAAAAATTCCTCAAAATCTTCAGATTCGGGACACGTATCGATTTCAATCTGTTGTTGAGGGAAATTTATGAAGAAATGCAGATGACCTCAATAGAGAGCTTGGCCAAACGAGAGTTTAAGGCAAAATTATACTGGTGGAGTTAGTTGGTTAAGGGAAGTGGTTAAGGGAAAGAATCAAAGGAAGGAATTAAAATGAATTGTGGGAAACGATTGCCAGGTGAGAATAGAGAGATCCAGCTGCTGATTGTTGCCTTGTGTAAGTGATTTTTTAAAGAAATATTACAATTTGCACTTGTCTTTAGATAATTAATCGCTTTTCAGCTGTGCAGGAAAGAAAAAATGACCCGAAATTTCTGTTGAAAGGTAGAAAAATAAATAGAATAAATGTAAGAATTGAAATACTATATAGAATAACCCACATTCGAGTTAGGAATAGCCAAAGTCAGAGTAGGCCATTTCTTAGTAAACTCACTTCAGGTAAATACTATTCTCAAGCCTAGGAAAATTCTTGAATTTTTTCAGTTTGCAGGGCTCGTTTGTTTATCTTTGATTATATAATTTTTTTATTTTGCTTTCTTTTCTCTTATCGTTTTTTTATATTTTCTTTTCACGGACGAAAAAGAAGAGAGAAGAAAAAAGTCTGCGGCAGCCTTATGAAGCCATATTATCTTGAAGGGAAATAATATCCGATTTTTAGAAATAATTTATATTTCCTTTTCACGGAAGAAAAGGAAGAGAGAGAGAAAAAGTCTGCGGCAGCCTTATGAAGCCATATTATCTTGAAGGGAGAGAATATCCGATTGTTCAGGAAAAATTTATATTTCCTTTTCACGGAAGAAAAGGAAGAGAGAGAGAAAAAGTCTGCGGCAGCCTTATGAAGCCATATTATCTTGAAGGGAGAGAATATCCGATTGTTCAGGAAAAATTTA